CACGCGGCTATCGAGGAAGCCTCAAGGCAGTGACAAATCTGTCCCCACATACTTTTCAGTGGCCCATGGAACATTTGCCATTACTTAATTCCCAGGTAGAATGAATGTCTAAAGTGAGGAGCAGATACTAGCAGGGTCCGGCACCACACAGATCTAAAAATGCCAAGGCCATCTCTTGAAGCCAGGAGTGAACATGCCACGCTACCAACAATATGCCTCAAGAAAAGAACATGAATATTGTCTCAGTGTCATGTATGCAGCATAAGGCTAAAGTCACCATGAGCAGTTCTAGGAGTAGAGCAAATTCCTTGAAGGACTAGCAGCTTCTATTCCTGTGTGCCTAGTTCCCTCAGCTTTCTGTTGGAACTACAGTAAGAGGTTTATAGTATCCCCAAATAATTTTCAGTTTCCATCAGCTGTGCAGCAGTGCTTATACCAAACCCAGACATATATCCTTCCTAGTGAGCAGTGAGATTATCTGTGCCACTGGACTGAACCCAGTAAAATGAAAACACCTTAGCTTGGCATTTTGTCTTTGTATTACAAACACATTGTCCCATGACTTGAGCTTTTGATTGTGGAGTTCATGCATTCTGGTAGAATCAAAGGGACTGGGTGAAAAAAAAGTAAAGTGTTAAGTCCATGTTTTAGAGGGAAAACAGGATAACGTAGGTAATGAACAATAGGTTAAACCCCAAACTCTTTGCTTATGATTGCTGCTCAGGGTTTCCATCTACCAGAATTCCAAGCTCTCTCATACTGAGGTCAGTATCATCAAAAAGCACATAGAATGAGAAGCAAAAGAAACAGTAAAATACAGACCTATTTCATTACCTTTTTGCATGCAGTCATGGACAAATAGTACTGGTCCTTGCTTTCCTTTGTATCTTACAGATTTACAGAAGACTGACCAGGATAATCAATGGCCTAGGAATAATTTATACAGGTGGCCACTAAGGAAACCAAGACTTTCCTCGACCTGACACAAGTGCAGGGAGCTATGCCATAAGCTTATCAAATGTGGGGCAGCTTGGAAAGCATGACTCGAAGTAGACCAGTTGGTATCTATCTGTAAAAATCATCAGCATCAGATGAATCTAGCAGCAGACAAGCCCAAAACAAATGGCAATTCTTGACAATATGTGAGAGTAAAGTATCATTCCCTTGGAATGAAACAGCTTCAGAAGTTAACTGAACAGGAAAGAGTTAACTGATGGCTGTTAAACACAAAAGATTTCAAACTGCTGTTAGAATATTTAAAGAACACACCACTGCAGTGCTCAACTTACTCATCTTCAGCAACTTATTTTGACCACAGCTGGAGACAAGATGCTACAATGTGTGTATACTTAGTCTGATTCAATTCAGCTGTTCCTATGAGCAACTATCAGCTGTTGAGCAACTTCTGTAATCAGAAAAGCCAGATTCTACATTCAGCTTTTTAAATTTTTTCTTAAGGATTTGGAAAAAACATGGAGTTTTGCAGATGTTTGTACTAGTGGTCCTGTACCACACACTTTAACAAGTTAAAATGCAAGAGCAAAGTGGCCTATTAAAGAGTTTTAAGAGCTCCCTCACAGCCCAAATAAACAAGGTACTGCCAGAACAAGGCAGGGCTCTGCACTTTTAAGTAGCCAAGGACAAGGCAGATGGAGGCAGGACAAATAGTTATGAGTTTATAGATGACAAACTAGGAGATTACTAAATGATTTACAAGAAAATAATTTGTCCCAAGTCAACTGCTCTGTGCCCCAATTAAGCAAAAGACACCAGATTTCTAACTGTATCCTCAACATAGTGAATATAGATTAAAAATCCACATACAGAATTTTATTTTCCCATTTTGAATAATGTAGTTTCCTGTGCCCCGGATTTCACAGCTCTGCACAAAATGCCACGATACACACTTGTGTCAGTCTTGTGAGCTCAGCAAGAGGAGAGATCCTGTCTCCCCTTCCCAGAGGGAAACAAACACAGAGTATCATAAAAAGTGATTCCAGCCAGGCAGGCTGGGGTATTTGTGTTCCACTACTAGAAGTCAGGCCATTTTCTCTCAAAGGAACATCAACTGCAACCTGAAACATACTGTGCCTGTCAGATTATTTGTGCTATCCTACCTTCAACCAGCAAGATGTCAATTCTAGATACTTCTTGTATTCTCCCCTACTACTCCCAAAAATTTCCAAAAACAGTATCTTGCCTTCTCCAGTGAGGCAATTGCCAAATTTCTCTACCCATTTTCACTGATAAATCAGTTCACCATCATTGTTTGCTACCACGGAAATTGATCTGTTCTGTCAGAGCCATTTTCTTTTAACACAAAATGAAGACCTGCTAATCTGATATCATTTGTAGCAGTGAGTGCAGGTGGACTTGAAACAATTTTTGTACTAGTACTGACTCTACCAGTCCCGGGAACGTGATTTTTCTGTTTCCTGCTCTTAATCTTTCCTGTACACTGGAAATCCTCTTTACAGGGTGTGCTACAGTATCACAGTAGCTCAGCTGCTGCAGCAGAGCCCTGAGAATGTCTGGGAAAAGCCTGTCAAGGTGGGGCTGAACTACAAGTTCTTAAATTAAAAACACAAAACAAAACATAGCCACTTTTCATTGGAAGAGCTACAAGACTGTATTTGTCCTTAATTTCTTTGATCAGGTACCCAGAGATCTGTCAAATCACAATACAAAAACAAATGCTGTGAACAGTTCTAGGCAGGAAGAGCTCAGTTAGCAGGAATGTTAAGCTCCGGATATCTAACTCTTTGATCTTTCCACTTCACCTTTTAGGAGATGAAAGGAAATCTCTGCTCTTGTAGGTAGAGAGTGTGGTACAATATGGGGGTACAACAGACATTTAGTTTACCGTAGCAATTCCCAGATGAACCTAAAATAAATGAAGACTTGGCCACAGTCTAGTCTGCCTCTTTCTCTATGTCAGCCCTATTTAATTATATCTGCCCTTGAAGAAGCAATCCAAAAACATTATGGGTGACAAGGTTTTCTATCACTCCCTTCCCATGCTTTCTGTTCAAGCTTGTGCATTGCTTCCCCTTCACTCAGATGCTTCTCTATTTTCCCTCTATTCCCACTCTCACATTTCACCAGGATCCAAGCCCTCTGCCGGTTAAGTGCTGCACTGTGTCCCAGAATGACCCTTTCCAAATTCCTCCCTGCTAAGTCATCCAGAGAAATACAGAGAGAGCCTGTTACAATACCACTCCACTCTGAGTGCTAGGCAGTCTCCCTTCTGCTGCAGAGCAGTCTCTCCAGTAAAGTCATCTCCAGTAAAATTCCTACTTTGAGAATGGAAAATTTCAGGCACAAACTTCCATAAAAAGTTACAGTGAAATGAAAACAGAGGAAGCTAACAGAACCTGATGTACTGTTTTAGAAACCCTGACCTTCAGTGTTAACTTCTTGCCAGAACAGACTTGTCACAAAAGTGTTATTTCCCAGCCATTCAACACTGCCCCAAATAGTTTTCTCTCACAGCTTGGACTAAGCAAAGAACATCAGCCGTTCTGGTTTTTCTAGAGGCCCCTGGGCTTTTGCTTATCACGTTAGAGACACACAAAAACACTTGCAGAGCTGAAGCTTTTAGTATTTGCTTTAAAGCCCAGAATTTAAAGTGATTATAATCAATTTATATCAGGAGAATCAGCATTGGAAAAGAATATTGCTTGGAGTCAGACACCAATCCTCTCCTCCTCATGTTTTAAGCTAAATCAATCTTTTCTGTTTGTAAAGTACTGCGACCAAAAATGTTCAATCTGGTCTCAGTGACAGTGGAATGATTTAAAAGAAGCATTTTGAGATTACAAAATATCCTCTCAATGTAATGGTTTAGTATTTATCAGAAAGAAAAATTTTAAATTAGTATGACCCCTTAATAACTTTTTATCAGTACCAGGAAACAAACCACCTATTTCACAAACACTTGCAGAGCAACTCCCTTCATGTTACATTTTAACCTGTCTGAGTTCACTTTAAGGTACACTATGCAGTTATGCAATCAGAATCCTACCTCACATTTACCATTTAGATTTGTTATGCACTAACAGTTCTGGTGTCTCCCTTCATCCAGGGTGTTCAGAAAGAACCCTCTTTCTGCCAGGCCTACACAACTTCCTTCAGAGGACTATTCATACTCCAGATCTACTCAGACACCAGAAAAAAAAAAACAAACAACAAAACAACAAAAACCCCCTTACAGGAACATGGAAGAATATCACCCAACACTAGTCACTGCTTTTACCAGGGCCCAAATACATTTTGTGAATAGTCTGAAGCAGCTCTCACACAGAAACAACTTTAAAGCCACTACCTTCAAGTATTATGAAAATCATCAAGAGCCCTCAGGGACAAACACACTTCACATAGCAAAAAAAAACCAAACAAAAACAAAACAAAACAAAAAAAAAAACCAACCAAAAAAACAACAACCAGTATAAGTGTATTTTTCTGTGCTCCCAGAACAAAGCATTAATTTTCCAATTTGCAAGATCACGATACAGAATTTTCTTAGAAACCCATTTCTACTATATTTGCCAATGGTACCTTGTGCAAGCACAGAATTCCTTCCTGTACTATGTGCTGCCTACCAGAGAGGGCAAGGTTTCTACTGCTTATTAAAACAATCCCATGGGTTGCTGTACAGGCTTCAAGTCTTCAATGGACTAAGTTTTCTACTAGCCAAAGTATACTATCACTTCAGCAAAAAATATAAACTGAATTAAGCATTAGTGTATTAGTTGTCAGACACACCAAACCAGCTCTGTTTAAAGAGATGCTCAAACAGACTCATTGGTCACAAGTTCATCACACTCAGGTGTTCTACATATACCAGCAGACAGCTGTCACACACAGGAAGTTAACACTGACACCAGATGATTTTGTGAGGGATAATTTGCCTTGCTTTCATGTAATCTCTAGAGACAGCTGATATAACCCAGCTACTCCAGCATTACTATCACTTGAGCATTGCTCAAATAACCATCTCATTACACACAGTAATGAAACTATTTTATTATAAGCAAAATCAGCATTTATATCACCAAGAAACCAGGACCTACACACTTTTTGAAGAGCTACCCGTGTAGAAACTGCTGTACTTCAAAATCAACTTGTACTTCCGACTAGAGAAAAAAGTATGGAGTGTTACAAAGAAACAAAACCAAACCCAAAAGTAATCAGAAAAAAAGCAGACCTCATTATGTAACATCTGCCAATATCCTGGTCCTTCCAGAAAACAATAGGCACTAGCTCCAATTCACAGAATTCCAAAATAAAAGTGATTGCTTTTTCAAGCTTGCTCAATATTCTCTGCTTACCAATTCCAGACATGCCGTTTTGGCAAAGACAATCTACTAGTCCACACAGTGTGCTCTTCAGAACCATTTTAGCATTTCCTTCTTCCAAAAAAAAAAGAAAACAGCACAAAGTCACTGAGTACATATACTGCATCTTTGTAGGGGAAAAAAAAAAAGGGAAAACATTACGGGTGTGGAAGGGTGTCTGATGCAGTGAAAAAGCTACATAGACAACTCAAAGGCAACAGTAGAAGCATATCTGAGAACTCGGAGAAAGGCAGGAAACCATCTTCAGTATTCCGCATTGAATGGGTAGCCCTTGTGATTTTTGCACCTGGAGGAAATCAAAAAGCAAAGATTATCTCATGCCTGAAAGACATTATATGTAGCTGTAACCACTTCAAAGAACCACCACGGGGGGGAGATGAACCCTATAAAAGCAGAGCCAGTTCCTCTGTTTTCCTTGGTGACACTGTGTTTGCAAACAAAAAGATTGAGTGCCTTCTGTAGTTTGGGCTCCAAGCACCTCAGGTGATGTGACCTAGGTGCTTTGCAGACAACTAACTCAGGATTTTGCTGTTTACTGACAGAGGACCTTTTTTTGCAGCCTTCCAAAGATTTCCTATCTGGCTCTAGGCTTTCAAGTTTTAAATCCTCCCGTTGCTTCCTGAGTGTTCATCCACTTTCTCAACTCCTGAACAACATACAGGTTTTGTAACATGCTTAGGGGTCATGGCATAAACACAAAATACCACAGGCAAAGTTAATCAAGAATTTAAGCCTGCATCATGCTCATTTCTCCAATATGAATAAGAAGCTTCCTGTTGCAATTCCAGCTACTAAAAGCTTCTTGGAGACCGAACTGAAAATGAGGTTTGGTCTATGCTCACCATGTTTTGGTTCATAAAATGAACACTGAAAAAATCTTACTCTGGAAAGTTATTTTGAGGATGACCCCTTTGGAAACTGAGTTTGCATATTGTGAATTTAAATTAAGCCTACTATCTATAACTTCATATACTGAACTATGTGATAACTTGACAGTTTCTTTTCTTTAAGCTGTTACTTACATCATCATTGCACAGACTCTCCAGTTTCTATTAAAGCTGAGAATAGTTGCCATCTCCTCTTTAGTCAATTCAAAGTCAAACACCTAATAAGAGAAAAAGCTGAAAATGACCTCTTTGACAAATCAGTGCTTGTAAGAAAAAAAACCAAAACAGAATAAACAAACAAAACAAACAAACAAAAAATCACAATATTAAAGAACAAGTCCACAGTGTACAGTGCTTGTTAGAAAAAGTGACTGTTTCATGAAGAGAAAGGAAAGAGGCAGCTCTCTGGATTTCTGAGACCCCTCTGGAGGGAGGTGGGCAGGGAGAAGCAAGAATTAAAAAAAAAATAAAAATAAAAAAAAAAAATCAAGCTGCAGTCACATGCACTGGTTATTTTAAGAAGTCTGGAGAGCACTGAAGTGTTGCACAATGCCTCCATCCTCCATTTGTGAAAGGTGCATCCTTCTGTCCTATTCCAGGGAAACAGCTGCAAGACTTCAATATTCCACTGAATGCAACTAAGTATTCGGAAGCAAAATCCTAATACTGGTTTCGGTCCAAGATCACTGAATCAAAAGCAGCAACATAGTCCTGCTATCCATGAACCATTTTCTTCACAATGCTTGCTCTACAGAAGTCTTTTGTGGTGTGCTACTGCATTCAGTCCCCAAACAAGCTGTCAGATGACTCATTCACATGACACAGAACAGGAAGCATCACATAATGTGACTGCTCCGATTACCAGGACAGTGTTTCCAAAAGCTTTGTTCACCCCTGCTCTCCAACTGTAATCTTAAATTCAGTCCTCCTTAGACAGCAGGTAAACACATGGAGAGAAAAAGCCCAGCCCTCCTGTTAAAGTATCAGTTGGGAAGGGTGAGAAAGGATCTGTGTTTGCTCTGCAGGGAGAAGCTGTGCTGTCCCTGAGGGGCAGCACCCAGCTCACTCCTAATGCCTCACCTTGGAGTTCTCCACAATGCGCTGTGGTGTGACAGACTTGGGAATCACAATCACATTTCTCTGGATGTGGAACCGAATGAGAACCTGCAAGAGGCATATCACTGTGTCAGAGAGAGGAGGGTTCTTGTTCTAGGCAAGCAGAACCTGTTCCAGCAGTCATTTGATGTAAACAGTACAATTCAGCAGAATTAACCCATTACTTGGAGCTGCATTTCAAATCATACCTGAATTCTAAGCAGCACCTTCTGAAGTACAAATAGAGAAGTGGTGGAGCCCCAAACTTTCTCCTCTGCCATGCAGTTTAGCAATACTCAGTTTCTTTCCTTCCCACCAAGACTTTTAGTAGCCTATTCAAGTGTTCATTTCTCTGCAACAGGACTTAAGATGGGAAGGCTGAAGCACAGCAACAATTGAAGATGGCTCAACAACATCTTTCTTGTGATGGTCAGAGTGCCTTTGCAAGCGTGCACTGAAGGCCTCACAGTAAACACACCTGCACTGCTACTTAACACCACAGGTGACAGGGAAGGAAAAACCACCCTGTCCTTTACATTGTCATTAACTGTCCTTTATGCTGTGCTACAGGAAATGGTACTCTGGCACCTACTCACCTGTGCTGGGGTTTTGTTGTGCTTGGCTGCAATCTCTTTGATCTTGGGGTCATCCAGAAGGGAAGGATCCTCTGGTTTAGCCCTGCACAAAGGAAAGAAGATGAATGGCAAGAAATCTCCATAGATCCAACCTAGCAGAGATCTCTATCTGAATGAACCATTAATGCTGCACAAGTAGTCTCACTGCTTCAAGCATAATCCACACTAGCTTCCTTCCAAAGCAGTCTTACCATGGTCTGTCAGGAGAGCCAAGGGGACTGTATGCTGTCACAGCAATCCCTTTGGATTGGCAGTACTTAATCAGCTTCTCCTGGGTAAGGTATGGATGACATTCAACCTGACAACACAGAAGTATAGAGATTGACAGTGACTTAAACTGCTTTAACATGTTCCAGGGATTCGTTTTTAATCAAAGGCTAATTTTTGTTTTACCTTGGAGTTTCTAAACAGTATTATGCAGCCTTTGTTTTCTGTATGCCACCACCCCTTTTCTACTATCTGTAATTCTCCTTGCAATGAAGGGTTCAAGGGCTGTAGAAAAATTCCTTATAACTTTGCTGATGCAGATTATTTCCAACATATGGGATGACCAGCTACACAATTGCTTCAATGAGACAATTCAGTAAAATGTACACACAGAACTGTAAAATCACAGCAACAGGATTACAGACCAGGAAGTATAAAGTTCTCTTTTCATCCTTAATTAAACATGCCATAATATTTATTTTTTTTTTTACAGCTACCATATTAACTTCAATGATAGTATTGTTTAATTTGGTTTTGTTTGCTCTGTCAATATTCACCACTGAACACCTCCAGTCTGCAAATGGTGAGAACAGCTACCTGCTACAGCTTTTAGACCTTCAACCCACTGTCCATTACAGACTTTTTATAAATGCATGGGTACTTCACATGAATTTCCACAAGAATAACTACACAACAGAACACAGACTCCTTAACAGTGGATCTGTGTTCTGACAAGTGAATGCACAGATATGCAGTATGGAACAGAAACTACTCATGTGTCAGGAGGCAGTGAATGAACATGAATATTTGATACTTTGCATAGAGGGACTTTCAGGATAGTTTCACACCAGGGAGTAGTACTTTTCTTTCAGCAGACAACATCAAGAACCGTTTTGATGACGCTGCCATTCGAGACTCCTGCAGCTGCACTCTGAGGGAGGTCCCTAGAAACTTGTGCTGCTGGCAGGTGAAACGAGAGAGTGCAAAACATAGGATCAGTTTACAGCCCCAAGCACTTTATTTGTGGCTCTAGCTGCTTGCTGTTATCAGAAGCCTGCATGCCTGTTTTCCTTCTGAGACACGTTGGAATATTAAACAGAACGTGTAGCTCAGTTTTTGGGACAGGTCTATTTAGCTTCAGCAGCTCCAGAAAGACAGCTACTCAAGAGTATTCAACAGGCAGAATTTATATGACATAAGTAAGGCAAAGTAATCCTTACTGGCACTCACACTGAAAAACTTCTGAGCTAGTATTACATTTGAACCAGGATGAAAAGCCTATGATGTCCATTTAAACAAGCATCTTAAGATATTGCAATGCACACTGTGTGCGTGTGTGTAATTTAGAGTCAGATTTCCCTACTGAATTAAGTACTAGTATCATTGTAATGTAATTACTACCTTGTCAAATTAATTTCTCACCACAAATGAAACCAACACACATCCTGATTGCATTGAAATTAAGAATGGGAATGACATGAAGATAGTAGATTACATGTGAAATATCTGCACAGAGAAAGTGTTTTCAAGGAAGCACTATCACTACTAGGCCAATTGGTAAGTGTTAATAACAGACAAGCTTTCAGACTTGCAAGCAATTTTTTCCAGAAGCAATAAATCATGAAGGACACAGACCAAAGATCTCTTGCTCTGGGCTAAACTTGCTTATAGTAATCAGAGCTTGAGAACATTTACAAGTGGGAGAGGTCCAAGGTTAGTGACTTCTGTGCAAGAAACAAGGGTAATTATTATACAGTGATAGTGTCAATGAAGTGTGGCAGAGGTTGAAAGGCATCATAAAACTTACAGTAATTTTCTAAAAGTGCATTTGGACTGATAATGAAAAGACACATTGGAGAATCATTCCTTTCGCTCATCAGAACATTTCAGTTTTATGTTGAATAGACTTCCAGAGAACACTCCTATTAAGCTTTCTGAAAAAAAGGTGTTAAACCCCCTTTTCAGTACACATGTTCAAGCTGCCACAATAGATTACCCAGTTCTAGCAATGAGGTATCAGTAACTGGGACCGCAGTCCTTCAAACACCACAGTAATCGAGGTCAAGACTAGTCAGACCTCACAGGAGTCTATCCTGGGACCTGTCCTCTTTAACCACCTGTGCTATGCTACAATCATGTCAAACTTGAAGGCAACACCAAACTGGGGAATGACCAGTCAATACACACGAGGGCAGGGATGCCATTTCAGAGGGACCCACTCAGGCAGGAAGAACATACAAATAAAAACCTCAAGGAATTCATTAAGGCTGCACATGAAGACCTGCACCTGGGAAGGAACAGCCCAAAGCCGTGCACCTGGGAAATAAAAGCCTCCTGGCAAGAACACAGGCTGGAGCCTGACTGCCTGCAAAGCAAGTATGCTAGAAACAACCTGGGGGCCATATTAGGCTGAGCTGGACATGAGCCAGCAGGGAGCCCTGGCAGCAGGAACACAGACAGTAAATTGTGCAAAGTCATCATCTGTCTCTACTCACACTTGTCAGACTAACTTCATAATACTGTTTCAAGTTTTCCCCCCATTCCCAGCCCCACCTCAGTAGAAGAAAGACTGACAGACTGCCATGAATTGAGCAGAGGAACACCAGGATGGCTAAGGGCTGGAGAACCTGCCGTCCTGGGGAAGGCTGAGTGAGCTGGGCTTGTTCTGCCTGGAGAAGGGAAGGCTCCAGGCCTCCTAGCAGCAGCTTTCAGTACCTAAAAGAAGGTCATCCAAAGACAAGCCAAGCTGTTCAGTGCTGTGTGGAGGAAGGCATGAGACACAAGCTGAAACAAGAGAGGTTGACACTGGATATAGGAAAACTCCCTCCCTCCACCATACAACCAAGGCAGGGGGTCAGGCAGCAGAGCACACTTCCTAGGGAAGCTGTGCATCTCCATCCCTGCAGTTTTTCAAGATGGATAAAGGTCTGGACAACCTGGTCTGATCTCACAGCTGATGCTCCTCTGAGCTGTGAATTAGAGCAGATTATCTCCCAAGGTCTCCTGCTGTCTGAGTTTTCCTAAGATTTTATTCAAGTGTTGCTTATGTACCTGGACACTTCTACTCTGTGGCCTACCTTGCAACTAGATTTCCTCCTTCCTCCTAACCCTCATTAAGTCTGTGAGGGGTCTATAAAGCATGTTCTTGATCAATTCTCTCAGTCATCAGCAACAGCAACTGGCCTCTCCACAGATGAGTTATGAAGAGGTCATCCAATTCCCTATATACACACCAAGTTTTACTCTGTGTCAATGAAGTTTTTAGACCTCATCTGAGTTCCCTCTGCTTCAACATCTACAGAAAGCAATTCTGGAGCCACTCATTGTCAGATTTCCAGGCAGCAGTGCAGAAAATCCACAAAAAACCAGCACCTTGTACATCCACAAGCAGTTGGAGGGTAGGATTGAAAGAATATGCTGTGTATACTCCATTATCTCTTACTATAACCTTATTTCAAAACAAGATGTTAGTCATTCTTAAAAAAAAAAACCAAGAAATCACCATACAACAAAAAACACCACCATCCAAACATTTGCTTGCTGTCACTTTGCAGCTTACCTGGTTATTTGCAGGCTTGTATTTCAGTCCTGGCTTGTTCAAGATTCTTTCAATCTGCTCATGGTTGAAGTTGGAGATTCCAATGGCTTTTACCAGACCAGCATCCACCAGTTCTTCCATTGCCTAACAGAAAGAAACAAAATCAGCCTCTAGCACACAAGGCAGGGCCTGAAGAACACATTCTGCCTGATATGGGTTTGTTTCCTTCATGAGAAGCTTGAAATAAGTGTTCAGATTTTCAGAGTTCAAGTTTGAAGAAAAACTACCTGAAGTACTCTTGTATTTGTGCCTTGTCTCCCCTGTCACCAATGCTCAAAAGACTCATTCTCTGAGACTGGGGATATTCACAGCAAGTTAGAGGTTGCAAGTAATGAAATTATAGTCAACAAACCACTGTTGTATCAGTGAGCTCTTACAAATAGATCTAAACACAAGAGACAGTTTAGACTGCTGAAGGTAATGAAAACGTGGTAGAGACTGCTAAGACCAGAACACATTATTCTCATGCTGCAGCTAAACTTACCTCCCATGTCTGTAGAATATCTGTGTTGCTGGGGATAGCCATGCCTTTGTCATCTGTGGGGAACAGCTCCTCTCCTGCCTGTCAGTGAGGGAGAAAATGCTTGAAACACTCTTTATTATTGGGAGGCTGGGTTAACACCAGCTGAAGAACATACCACAGATTTGTACTGCAGGACAAGTAATACTTATTATTATACAATTTATTAGATACTAATAGTCACTATCTACAGTCTCCAGTCTTTTTGTTTGTTTTTGCATGGTATTATGGCTTTTTTTTTTTGCTAGCAATCAACCCAGTAAGGACAGGTACTTGTGGTGGACACTGTGCCCCGCGGCTCATCAAAATCAAAATGACAAAACTTAAGTCTCCACTTGTACTACAGAAAGTAGGACTATATAGCCAGTTTACAAAAATACAGTTTGTATCATCTGGGTGTACTGAAGTGTTTTATTGGAATGCAAAATCAGGACCCATTTAGGACCTGGAACATGTTCAGCTTATACTGGACCAGATCTGCTGACAGGTCTCTTTCATGGGAAGACTCAGTGTTTAACTTGCTGGCACAGAGAATGTTAGAGCAGCCTGTGTCCCAGTTGGGACTACATGCCAAGTATCAACTTCATTCAAAACAGTTATTTTCCACTGATACATTATTACACAACAACATACTTTCACTGTGATAGTTCTGTCCACATGAAACTCATTTTAAAAATACAGATGCCATGGAGAACAGTTATGCCAGAAGTAAGAAGCATAAAGAAGATTTTGACCAAGTTCTAACTGAAAGACTAACCTTGGACAAATTCAAACTGCAACAGCAGTTCCTTCACATGCAGTCAGTAAAAGAGTTAGGAACTAAAAAGTTCAAACTTTTGAAATCCAAGGTTTGTGAAACACTAAGGCTTCTATAGCAAAGGTTAGTTCAATCTGTACTGTCTTAAAAGACTTAGTGATTAAAGACAGAAACAATCTCTTATGATGTGACTCCGTAACATGCAGAGGAAAGAAGTTCTGTCAGACAGCAAAGTATAGCACAAAAAAGGAACCACACCATTGTCAGCTGAGCATACTCCGGACTCATAAAAGGCAACACAGGCAATAATCAGAAGGAGAGAGACATAACTTCTCCTTGCAGCAGGGAAACCCACCCCTACTTCAAGGTCTACCTCTTCCATGATCAAAAGGGGAGCAGGTGCCAGGCAAGCATAAACCTTGATAAGGTAAGGATCAACAGCCTGGTTCACGTGGCCACAGTAAAGCTGAGCAGCAGAGCAGTGCTGGCACACAGCAGACACGTGATGATCTGTAACAGCTGGAGCAATCACTAGTCTATAAAGCCATACAGCTCTTCTAAACTGCCAATCACAACAGACAAAGCCAAGGGCATTGCTGTTACTGTACCTTAAAACCAAGAGGCCAGTGGATGAGGTAGAGATCCAGGTAATCCAGTTTTAGAGCAGTGAGAGTCTTCTGGCAGGCTCCCTTCACCAAAGGCTTCTCATGAAACGTGCACCACAGCTAGAAACAAAACACCAAGGCACACTGTGACCTCCTGGGTTAAATCTCTCAGAACCCTTCTGTACTGTTCAGGAGAGTGCCTGTCCCGTTCAGAAGGTGATGTGAAACTGGGTCATCCTACAGCTCTTCAAAGGAGGTTTGCTCTGTGAGCAGGACTGGCCTGTGATACTGGACAATATGTGCTGTGGCAGCACACTGCATAATGTCCTGGCATACAGCTGAAGTAGTCTTGTTTCATTCATTAAGAGTTAAATTAAAAAACACCTACTATAAGGTCAGATACTGGATGAAAAGGGACAGCATAACTTCATGCCAGGAGAAGCTGAAAGCATCACCTACATTTGTGACACATACTCTGCACAATTCTCCATACAGGATGAGGTAAAGTAAGAACCTTGTCTCAGGAATGGTCTAAGCGATGTTCTGAATACTGCATCCCAGAGCAGGAAAGTAAAGAACTCGGAGGTTACTTAGGGAAAAAAAGGTGTCTCCTGGTATTCCATATCACCAGATCCATACCTTACTGACAACAAAGAGGTCCTCTCGTTTCACAACACCTTCTTTGATTTTTTTCTGGATCCCTTCCCCAACTTCGTTTTCATTTTGGTACACATAGGCACAGTCCAAGTGACGGTAACCAGCGTCGATAGCAGCCATCACCGCAGCTGTTACTTTCCCCGGTTCGGACTGAAAAAAAAAAGCGACGGCAGAAAAACAAACAAACAAACAAACAAACTCTAGTCAACGTATTACCGAAAGCCTTTCTCACAGCAAGATAAAATTAAGAAAGCCGCCCCATCCAAAGCAACCTCCGATTAAAACAAAGCAAAGCAGGGAGCCCTGGCGGCCCGGCCGGGGTCACGACAGCGCCCGCAAGGTCCGGGCCGCGCTCCGGTCGCGCTCCTTCCCCTCCCATCGCCCCCCACCCACCCCCGCCGCCGGCAAAGGAGAGCCCCGGTACCTTCCATGTGCCCAGCCCCAGAATGGGCATCTTGGCCCCGGTATTGAGCTGCACGTAGGTGGCCATGGCCGCGCAGACACCACTACGCCACCCCCGCGCGTCCAAACGCGATTAATATGGGCCGGCCCGGCCCGCCCCGCCCCGGCGCGGCCCTGTCGGGGCGGGGCCGGAACCGAACCCGGGAGCGCAGGGACGGGGCGGGGGCGGAGGAGGAGGAGGAGGGGTGGGGAGGGGAGGGGAGAGGGGTTGTGTCTGCGGGCCCTGCGCTGGAGCGACCGTGCCGCGGTCGTGCCGCCGCACCGCATCACCTCGGTCCTTTGGAGTCACATCCCCGGGATGGGGATGGTAGAGGGGACACGACATAAGAGCTGTCGCCCTAAGAGGTGTTAGCGGGCTGTGTGCCTCGTGAAAAGGAAGGGCTGAGCCCTTTGCTGCCGCAGGGATGGTGTCCTAGGCTGGTCCCCCTTATCGATGTTTTATGGCCCCGTGTGCTGATAACAGCGAAATGACAGGAGAAAACTCGGATTTGTCTGGCTTGTGAGAGCCAGGAGAACCTGTTCTTTGCTCCAAGTGGGACAAATGCAGCTTCCAGTGTGAACTGTGGCATAGCAGTGTAGAATTATAGAATCAGCTGGGTTGGAAGGGATCTCCGAGATCATCAAGTCCAACCCTTGATCCAAGTAGCCGTGGTTACCAGACCATGGCACTGATGCCACATCCAGTCTCATCTTAAAAACCTCCAGGGATGGTAAATCCACCAGTTCCCTGGGCAGCCCATTCCAGTGCCTGATTACTCTCTCTGTAAAGAATTTCTTCCTAACATCCAACCTAAACCTCCCCTGGCACAGCTTAAGACCATGCCCTCTTGTCTTGCTGATAGTTGCCTGGGAGAAGAGACCAACCCCCACCTGGCTACAACCTCCTGTCAGGTAGTTGTAGAGAGTGATGAGGTCTCCCCTGAGCTTCCTCTTCTCCAGGCTACTGTCTCCAGTAGTTTATGATATAGTGAGTTTAATAAAAAAGAACTTTATTTTTAATTTTGGAAGACTTCTTTTAAAGTGCTTAGAAAGTTGCGGATGAGGAGCAGTGACCTTTTCATGAGTGGCATAATGATCATATTGTCCCTCTGTCTTTAGGAATGTGCTGAGGACGTTTCAGAATAAAATACATGATTGTAATCATATGTGGTAGTGGCCAGCGACCTCACATCAGAAACTGGCTTTGACTTTTTTGCAGACAAGCATAAGCTGTTCTGCTGAAGAGGTCACAGCGCAGTGGAAAAAACCAGACTTGCCTGGAAGGCTTTGCTGCTTATTCACATGTAGAGAGTTTCTTCAGGTGCGAGTGTTTGCTCTGGGTGCCTCTCCCTGCTCTCTGCAGCTTCATATTTTTTGCTCCATTTAACTAAGAATGAGCAATGTAATTGGTTTTCCTCTTTAATGTTCTTCCTGTTTAGTGTCAGCACATCAGCCATCCCTGGCAGAATGAGATGTGTTTTTACCTGGTACACAACTTGGTGCTTATCTCTTGCTATTTAGGTTTGTTTTTCCTTGATGGTTTTTCATCAGGGGGATGCTTCCATCTTGTCACAAGACGCTTCAGGTGGAAGTTCTGTATTTTGTTTTTGCTGTTCACTCTTGTGAGTGGGAGCCTTACCCCTCACAGCTGTAAGAAATCAGCTTTCCACTGTTTACCTCTCCCAAGGGTCTGGCAGGGGCCATCACATGGTGGCAGGGCCTTGAGGGAGGAAGAAGTACTGCACGTGTCACTGTGTGACAGCCAGTCTGCTAAATTTTATCTACTGTGTCCTTGATAACATGGCCAACTATTTCTTTACACTGAGCTGGCAAAGAGGAACTGTGCAGGCGAGGAGGGATTTTGTTGCCTTTTCGGTTTTTTTTTTTTTTGTTTCTTTGTTTATGCACGTGTGAGATGTTGCACTGAAACAGGATGTGTAGTATCACGAGTTTTCAGTTTGTTTTTCTGACTTTGCATTTAGTTACTGTAATTTCACCACAATTTGTGACTTTGGAGACACAGCAGTGTTTGGCATCTGAGAACAGGACCCAAAATAATGGAAGTGGGTATGTCCTTGTGGAGGTAGTTTTTACCAGAGACCCAGTGGCCTGCAGAAAAAGCACAAAGTAGGGAGGTGACAGAGTTGCAAGGTGCAATCAATCTCTACTCCTGAGGGAGAAAGAGAGCTGTGAGGGTCTGCAGCTTCAGAGGTACCAACATACACAGGCATAGCTTAAACCAGGGTTTGGAGATGAGAGCATGTGGGTTTCAAGCTTGAATCCCTGGGAAATGGAGTCTTTAAATGGGAGGTTTATTTTGCTCTACTGGGGGGCTCCAGTTCAATCTCCGGGTGCCAGGAGGCAGATCTGAGGGGCTTGGCCAGCCCTGACCGTAGAAGACCTCAGCCTATTTTTTACTCTGAACTCAAATCAATCTAGGAGCATATCTTGGTGGATCTCCCATCTTCTCAGATCTGATGAGGCTTTTTGTCTTCACACATTTGTTCTTTAATCCCATCTGCTTAAATAATAAGTCCCGACCGTAGGCAAGGATGAGCAAGTGCTCCTACCATCCACCAGTGGTGGTTACTGTGTGGAAAGGGTGGGTTTATCCCCTCAGGGGAAACCTGGACAGGAGGAAACCATGAACTGCCCCAGGCTGGTCAGAACCAGTTCTGGATGACTATGAAGCCGGTGCTGCCATCTGGTGTGACTGAGCTCCAGCAGATGGGAAGCATCTGTGTGTGCATCCCCAGTCCCCCTGGCAGGTAAGAAGGGGGGCAGCACCTCACCCCAAAGGGGCCAAGTTGCTGAGGGGCCTGCAGGCTGGGTCACCCCTGCCAGTCAGGGCAGCAGCAGCCCTGGGACCAGCAGCCCACCCACCCAGGAGCTCTAGGACACAGGAGTGATGAAGGGAAGCATCAAGCACCCGGCATCACCCTCCGAGCCACCCTTGCTTTCAGGGAGGGATTGGGATGGCCTGGATGTAATCTATGGTGAAAACAAGGGAAGCAGAGAGGAGGACAGGGTTTGGTGTTTGGGTTAAACAGAGGTTGGAGAAGGGGAAGAAAGGCATTTACTGATTTGTTCTTCTGTGTTCTTCCCTCCCTGCCCCCTGCAGTACCTGAATCAGTGAAATAAAGATTTGTTAATTGGCAATAAATTATCTTAGATTGCCCTGAGATGAGGTGATGAAGTTGTTTTGCCTGGGACAGTAGCTGTTGGAGATTGTGTGTGATACCCTGACATGGCCCAAAACTGGAGTAATGAGGACTATGGAAGGAGCCATGATCCTGGTCCTGGCAATACACACTGGGGGAAGTGGCACAGCCAGTGCATGTCCAGGAGTGAGTGCAGACAGTATGCAAATACCTGAAGAAAGGAGGGACCTTGGGGGGACCATTGCTGAGTGGGAAGGTGACTGGGAAGAGATAGACAGATGCTTCCTCCACACCTGAGCCCCAGTGGCCTGGTGTAGTGCTGTCTCCACATGTAGGATCCAGAAGCACTAGCTGAGGATCCGTGGAGGGTTTGGCTGTGAAACATGGGGTAGAGAAGTGTGCTGCTGTGTTGGGACTGTGCACTGGGGCTTGCCATGTGCTGCAAATGAGGCTTCAGAGAGACCAGGACTGCTGGGGAAGGGGTGGCTTTGTAATGTATATTACATTCACCTGGGTGAGGTGTTAACTACTGGTCTGCAGGGACAAGGGATGGAGTTTATAATGAATACACATTAAGATTGTGACAATGTTAAAGGTGGAGTTTGTATAAGGGTGAAAGCAATTCTTAATATATCTTTCAATTAAAGTGGAGGGTAGAATGTAAAGAACATAAATTGCAGAGGGTATCAGGGGATGGCAGTGGCGACCTGAGTGCAGACCATGAACTACTCAGTGCCAGCCAGGAGCAATTCCAGCTACCACTGAAACTGATATAAACACCCTGTCTCATGCCAGAATTTAAGCCCACAGTGCTGTGACTCAGGAACACTGCTGGAGACATGGGTGCACTCTTTGAAGGAGGTCCATGCTGAAAGGGCTTACTTCTGAGAGGATGGCAGCTGGTGGATGATTCGTGCTTGAACAAGGAAACCCCTGAGGTCACTATGGCCACTGGGTAACTCATGCTGGAGAAGTAATGCACTGAAAAGACAGTGGTCTAAACCCTTGGCTCTCCCTGCGTCATAGTAAGCATTGTACCTTTATTGTTCAATAAAAATGTGTATTTTATCTCAGTAGAGCTCTCTCACCTCAGCCTGGGGATTGCTCAGGGGTTTAGGGCTTGCTTCATTTAGGAAGCTGCAAAACAAATGTTTTTGGATTGCGTTCTCAGGAATTGGAAGTGGAACTTTTGGAAAGAAGGTCCTAAAGTGTTTGTTTTCCCCTGAAACCCAAGTGCAACATCTAAGATTATGCATTTGTCTACCTGCCCAGTAGTAGGAAACAGAAAGGTGACACAGCCACAAAATCAAATACCTCCTCATCTCACCTGGTGGTGTTAAAGGAGCCTTGATTGTTTTAATGTCTTGAATTTGAGCGTCAGGTAGAAAGGAGATTTGGGGGGATCAATTCCTTGAGACCTACTCTCCACGTGTCCCCTGTGCCAGACAGGCTCCACAGTGGGTATCCATGCATGTAGAGGTGTGTGGGCAGCTCAGGTGCTCGGCTTTGCTATCACTGGGTTGCTGGGATGTGTGTCCCTGCACCAGGCTGGGATGTGCCAGGGGGAGAGAGGCAGAAGGGGTTGGTGGGCATAGGACTATAGGGGTGAGCAAACCTCCGATGCTGCAGCACTGTGGGAGGGCTTGGGGCCCCCAGCTGCAGTCCTGGGGCTGTGGGGCCAGGGCAGCAGTGGGATGGGGTGACTGGGCTGAAGGGAGCTGCCAGAGGAGATGGATGGAGCTAGATGGGCCATCATCCCCGAGCTAGGTACCCTGGGCTCACAGCAGTAAATGCTGCCAGGGAAACTGGCCCCTGAGGCTGGCAGGGCCAGTGGGGAGGCCAGCAATTTGGGCTCTGCACCGAGGGGCTGAGCCTCCCTTGCCAGCAGCCCCCGGGGTTGTGTGTGACAGCTGAAATGTCTCCACCACCCCGGGGCTGTGGCCGGCGGGGAGGGGACAA